GCTGGTTGTGTAACAAGTTGTTGCAATTAAAATGGGACAGTATTTGATTGAGTATGATCTTCTCAAACACTTTGCTTAGTACTGGCAAAATTGAAACAGGCCTATAGTTACTGGGATCATGTTTGTCGCCAGCTTTGAATAGCGGAACTACCTTGCTATTTTTCATTAAATCAGGAAAAATGCTATGATCAATACATTCGTTGAAGATGTCTGCCAAGTATGGTGCTAATATTTCAATTAAGGATTTACAAACTTTAACTGACATCCCCCATAAATCTTCGGTACTCTTGACTTTAATATCTTTAAAAGTTTTTAAAATATACTGGGGACTTACATGACTAAATTTAAATTCAGAATTGCAAGCATCTACATTGTTTTTAAGAAAAGACGATGAAATTGTAGGTGAAGAGTTTAGATTCTCAGTAGTTTTTAGCGGGATATTTGTGAAAAATGTCTCAAACTCCTGCGCTACATCTGAATTTGCACTAATTATCCCATAGTCAGTATTAAGTGAAAAGTCATTTTCGCATGGCTTAGTTTGAGATGGGAAAAAGAGAATAGTCATCATCATCATCACAATTTGTCGATTACTTATGGGTTTGATTTAACCTTGATCGTCATTGATCTGGAAAGGTAAACAATGCTATGACAAAACAAAAACCACTAGTTGATATTTATCCTTGAAACAAAACAACTATAAAAAGTTTATGAAGAGAACAAGCAGCCTAAACTGCTCTTTGTCAGAATTTAAGTCAACCACAACACCACAGTACAAATTGGCTTACGTAAAACATTGAATTGAATTTAATAAAACCGCAAAGTATTGGACAATGCTTTTGCAACACCCGACGAAAAATTTGTAATCTGTAAATGTAATCTTTGAAAATGACAAAAATGTATTTCAGCAATATATCAGTATTGAAAATGTCTTTCACATTGAACTATTTATCTAGATTCTAGCTGAAACAGAAACAAAGTCAGACGTAGTCAAAAATCAGGAAAAATAAAAGTGGAATACTTATTCAATTGGCGATAGTAAGCTCATACTTAGAAGGAACATGATAGGTAAAGTTTAACTTTTTCTAAGATTGTCATGATTTGAGTGTATAAAAATTACTTCGGTTGAATTCAAAAGCGTACCTACCAGCCTTTCTTGACATTAAGCCAGCATAGTCAGTGTTGAAGTCTTAACAGTTTTGCAGAAATGTACGCGGACTACTTGACTAGCCAGACTCTACCTGATCAGCTGAACGACTTGTAAATTATAGTGTTTGTCAGAATTGGCACCTACACCTAACTCAATCATTACACGTCCGTTAGTTCTCAGGAAGCAATATACTCCTTCCTACTGTTGGATACTATCAGAAACACCGCAAGTTATCTAATAGACAAACTTATATTGGTTTTTCATGGAGTGACTACAAAGAACCAGGTTTACTTGGATCCCCTTTCCAATGCATCAACTTACATTGGTATTTTATATAGTAACCAAGAACGTTTTAAAGAAAGGCCAGGTCAAAAGTACCCTAAACCGACGAGCGTGCATAAAAAGATTGATGAATGTTGAAGAAGTGAAAGAGGTGTGTCAGGATCGTAGCAAATGGTAAGAAGTAGTCTCTACCTACCCTCTAGGAAGGAGGCGGGATGTATGTAAGAAGAACCAGAGTTGATTGACCCCTAGAAATGCTAAGTCGTTCTACTGATAGTACTCAGGCTAACTTTACTACCAATCTCTTTCACATCCTCTATTAAACCTAACTACGGTATTTAAGATAAACCTACAATCGTTTCTGGTATGTCGGTGTAGAGTCTAGATACTAAAACTAATGAATAGGTAGGTGGTCAGAGTAAATTACTTCGCTTAACTTTCGCCTGACCACCATTCAACAAATCTAATCTAACTCATAGTAGGTATCTATGTACTTGTACGAGTACCTATGTACAAAGTCTTTCCAAGCGTTTATTTGATTTTTGACTACAGGACGCCATACAGAACTCTGAATTGGGATGAAAAGGACAAAAATATATCGTATATAACTAAGAAATGTAAAAAGCAAATAAATTCTTGGAAAGGTGTATGTTGTCTCATCTACTTCACTTTGCATAAGTTGGTTTATGTAGGATTATCATTTTCATAAATGGAAATTGGAAATCGAGAAATATTAAGCTTATAGTATATCACATACATAGGTAGTATTTGCAAAAATTTTCTATTTTATAATAGGTAACTACATGTTTTAACATGCGAACAATAAGTACTTAGTATAACTTAAACGTACTTTATTTACTTGAAACTCGAAGCAAAGTTGGCGTGCTATAAAATCGTGTAACGTCTTACTGTCAGACCGCTGCTGACATTTCACTGCAGGCTGTCAGCAGAACTGTCAATGATATGAAATTGAAAGTTGATGCCTTGACATTACCAACTTATGTATAGGTAGAGTCGTAGTGTGGAATGTAACATTTGAGAATCGTAAATTGTTCAATAGGTGAGAATAAAGGGTACCTTTAAATGTTAAATATCGAACTTGGATATGTTCAATTGTAATAATGCAATCGTTTTAAGAGTAAATCTCTCGCTGTCAAATATTTATCTATGTGTAGATCTTTGAGATTCTAACCTACCTATAAACAGTTCGGGACTTATCATTATCATATAAATCTGGGTACATTTGTTTTGTTTCTGTAGATACTTCCCATATAATACTTTTCTACTTCCCACATCATAGATATGTTTACCTAGTTATATGAATAATAAATCACAACAAGTGCAATTATTCTAATGGCATTTAGTTCACCTGCTCAAGAATGATGTATTTCCTGCTCTCGCAGTTAAACAAACAAGTATAAATAAGAAAAAAACACCGGCCGGCAAAACAATGGCCACTAGTTGAGTAAATCATAACATGAGCGGTACAGGCGAGCGCAGATCACGCACAGATAAACGTGGTGTGGAAGTAACATATAACACGTCCAGCGATATTTGCCGGTAAGTAATACAGAGAGACGGTTACAAGGAAACGTCACTACACTCACTCAGCGATCTACAAATCGTCGTTTACGCGCGAAATCAAACAGTCTCAAACCGACTAGTAGCTGAATATCAACAGCGTTCGGTGCGGGCGGACGGCATAATGATGACTCGCAAGTGCAAATATTTTTATAGTGTGTTAAAGGGTGTGATATAATGTACGTACTTAAGTATCTCATTTCAAACAAAATCAATACGTATAAGTAGGTAGCAACTTTATGGATATTATGATGGATATACTTAAATTATCTGAAAATGGGGTGAGCTGCTCTTCTGTAAATTCTATATGTTGCAGTACAGTCAAGCGCAGATCACGCACAGATAACGCGGTGTGGATGTAATTGCGCGCTCAATTATGCGGACGCGTGCGCATGCGCACGGGTACCTAACCTGAGTCCGCGGACTTTCCACCAGTGTGGTCCACGGGAAAGGTGAACAGAGGAAAATATCCTTCGAGTAACCATCATGCCAAAAGAAAGGAGTAATTTGGCCCTTTGGATGTAGACAATGTAGTCGATCCACAATCGTGGTCTAAGTATATTATTAGAGACGCCATTAACTTTTTCCCTTATTTGGGTGGAGTCTTCTTTTTTTCTTCTACCTTTTTTTCTCTTCTTTCTCTTGTATCAGTCAAATCGCTGGCGGAGAGAAGGGGAAGAATAAAAGTTACTCCACCGACTGACAAGAGTCGTTTGAAGTAGAGAGGCTTGCGCGGGAGAGCTACGTATCTCACGGCTGTACATTGCACATGAAGTACTTAATATTAGAAATAGTGATGTAGGTAAAAAACATTTTAAACTATGGACATAACTTCCAGTGGTTCTGTTTTAGTTGAAAGATTAGTTTCAAAAGTTTACTAACATGTGCCGGTCACATTGTTATTGTAACACACACATTCTTGTTCGCTAGGATAAACTATAGTGTACTCATCTACTATCAGTATCAACTGCCGCTAAGGTTCGTGTAAAGGCTTACCTATTTTATAGAACATAGGATTAGGAGTGAATTTGCTAATAATAGACCACTGTTTTGGTCACACCTGTCTTAGACTATTATGAATCACGACACAAATCTTTTGAAAGCTGAGCAAATATAGGCTCTATTATAGCGATGAACGCTGTGCCATGTAACTTGGCCCCTTGCGCACTACTCGCAACCGTAACTCACCGTCACTATCTTCAACAGCAGTGCGGAAGGAAGCATTGCTACCATATTCATATCGGTTGGGATATGAATATGGTAGCCCGTGAACCCACGCCTTCTGACAAGCCGGGTCAGATGTGCTAGCCTTTACCTCGGGAAGAGCCTCCGTGGTGTAAAGGCTAGCACGTCTGACGCGGCTTGTCAGAAGGCGTGGGTTCAAATCCCATCGGTGGCGTGAATTTTTTCCGCTTGCTTCGTTTGTATTAACTTTGTAACCAAAAAGTTAATAGACGTGATGTAGATGGCCGTTTTTTACAGTGGTTCATGTATGGTGTTATATGTATGTACACTAAAGCATTATCCGCTATTCAATCATGACTTGGGTCCTCATGCACTCACAACCGTAACTTACCGTCACTGCGTTCAACAGCAGTGCGGAAGGAAGCATCGCTACCTCGATTAATAATATCGCACTCAACACTTACTTTCCTAGGTTTCAATGCTTTCTGATCGAATTAATTTGACATGCAAAAAACATGTTTGATCTCCATAAACTGTAATGACTGTACCCACTTTCAGTTTTTTTGTTCATCTTGATACCAAGTTTACGAACGACCCGATAAATGCTGGTTTCAGAGGTTTTCAACTGCCTAGCTGTTACATAATTTGAAGGATTCTGGCCAGGTTTTATACCGAATCTATTGGGATTTTAATGCACTTCGAGTGCTGTAATATTATTCTCATAAATGTAAATTATTTTCTCATACCTAGATCGTCGCTTGGAGACGAGCATCAAGAGATTGAAATTTGGCAAGCAGCGATCGGTGCATCGATAGCTTAGTGGCAGAGCAGTGAGGCATTGACCCATGCGGCTCGATTTCGAGCCCCGATCGATGCATGACACATTTTCAACTCCTTAATTTATTAGGTTCTAGAACGATCATGTAGGTAGTAGTCTAGGTAATTCTAATCCTATACATAGCAACTGGGACCGATATGGCATAACGTGCACATCTGTTGAACGGCAATCAGGTAGTTTAGCCGGCAATAATATATCCTAACCTACCTGGGAGTAATGAAGTAAATAATACCGAAATACCTATTACGACATAACAACTTGAAGACATGAAACTAAGACAATACAACATTGTTACAAGTTTGATTATTAATGCACACTATTCTGTGATAGTAACCGGTACAAAAAGCAAGCCCCAAAGAGACACATTGTCGTAGATAACAATGACATTATTATTACACTATTCGCAACAAGCGACATGCCTTTGTAAGTGAAATGTTGCAAGCAAACGAATCGAATCTAAAATATGTACTAATAGTACCTACAACCATTCGTCAGCCATTATACAAGAACACAAAAACAGCGGAAGCTAGAGGCTAAACATTGGTGCAAATTCTGGTGTACGCATTATTTTGTAAACTACTTACTTTTCGAAAAGCAAATAAAGTTCTTGAATAAAGACATGATGATATTTAAAAGAGATCACCTCTCTTGTCTTTTTTCCGCTAGACAGCTTAATAAGATCAAAAAAAGAACTAAAAGGTCTTGGTCAGGGCGATAAAAAAGCAACAAACTTCCGCTAAAATATTTTGCTTAGCATGCGCCGGGACAATTTTTGTCTGGTTCTATGTAACATCGAGTGATAGTATTGACATATTTCAAAACTAATTTATGATTACGATTTTTTATATGGACATCAGAATCAGCACTACCAGCAACGGTTGAAAAAGCCGTCGATTGGGTAGTAAGCACTGCGAAAGAACTTCGGCGATACAGAACTGCGTCTTATAGCTTACTAATAATACGTGCACTAGAATCAGCACTGATGGCAACGGTTGAAGAGTCTCCGATTGGCGATTGGGCAGTAAGCAACTGCACAATAACTTAGACAATACGGAACTAACTGCTTCTTATAGCTTAGTAACGCGTGCACTAGAATCAGCCCCAATGGCAACGGTTGGAGAGTCTCTGATTGGCGATTGGGCAGTAAGCCACCTCACAATAACTTAGACAATACGGAACTAACTGCTTCTTGTAACTTAGTAACGCGTGCACTAGAATCAGCACTGATGGCAACGGTTGAAGAGCCACTGATTGGCGATTGGGCAGTAAGCCCCTTCACAATAACTTAGACAACACGGAATCGGTTTTCGTTGCTTCGGTTTCGCTCTCATTGCCGCCACGCGGAAATCGAAACAATACATACAATCGGAACTTTACGTGAATCTCGCCAAAAAATATTCTAAATCTCGCCACTCTATCTCTTTATCATCACCATTTACTCATTTAAAGTTCAGGTATCCTGTTACCTGTGATGTGTTTTAATAACATCTAGTAAAAATAATCAGAAATAACTATAAAATATCAAACTATTACATTTAGGATGAATTATATCTTTCAATTGTTTTCCTTTTTTCTTTCCTATACCTTTACTTTTTGGCACAGTGCTTTAGGACGTAAAACCTTCAGTTAATATTTTCGCACATCATGCCTTCATCTCTCCGAAAAGAGTGTGTACTTATTAATAAAGCGACAGGTTGCAAGCTTAAAAGCTGTGGCAGACTGACGTATAACTCCGAATCACTTCGGTGCCTTTTACGACACCCACGGGAAAGAAACTGAATGGTGATTCACACGGCATATTCTGGATTTGTAGTGGAATTTCAAACTCTACATTTCTCGAATGAGGTGCAAAAACGTCGATAGCCGACAGAAACGAGATCGATATGCATGAAATTGGCTGCTGATGACTCTGATCAGTATTGCCAACAAAGTCAAAAAGTCAAAAGCATTTATTTCTCAGTAGGAATTACAAGATTCACTTTAAGAAAGTCACATTCTAATTCAAACTTAAAAAAGGGAAAATTTGTAGTGCAAAATTTTCTCTTTTTTACAACAATTTGTTTTCCTACTCTAAACGCGGCTCGGGCGGGATAAAAAAATAAAAATAAAGGCACTACCTCGAGGCTGGCCAGGTTAACCACACAGCATGTATCTTTATGCCTCAATGATTGACAAGTAAATGGAAATAATCACTAAGTCAATATTTAAATAAAACAAGAAAGAGGTTCCTCGAACAGATACGAGATGTATGGTCTGTGCCGTACAAGGTACATCAAAACATGGTACGCTTTTGTACGAGATTTTGATTTTACATAATTTTGTGTGCAGATGGCTCATACTTGACTGTAAACGGCACACATCTTGATGCCGAGATAACAAAAAGCCTGCCAAGTATTGGACACTTTGTCAATTTTGAACCGATGGCTTGCCCATAATGAAGATTTCTATTGAGAAGGAACAAAATATATGGCAATCCTAACAAAATTACTATGATTTAACACAGTTTTGCTACATTTTAGAAGCTCAGTAATATAGTACAAGGTTCGAAATCGAAAATACGAGGTTTTTAGGTGCCTGAGTACAAGGATGAAAAGTTTGGTTGGCAACACTGTCTCTGATCGGCTGATCGGCTCAACCAATTATACCAGCGTAATGTATGCGGGCACGCGGTGGCGATGGCAAAGGTTTTGCAGCCATTCTAGGATTAGCAGTTTGATTTTGCCGCTTTCTGGTGCGCGCTCTCAACACACACGTTTGTGCGTTATTTTGGCATAGCGCTATCCGTTGCGTTTGATAAATACCATATTTTTTATACAAATACGGTTTATGTGAAATGGTTTGACAGACGCATCCGTTAGCGCAAAAATAACGCACAACGCTGCGTTGACGAAAGCAAACAATTTGACATAAACCATATTTTTATAAGGTCGAAATTCGTATTGTTCCAAGGTTCCAAGTTCCAACGCATTCGTTACGCAGCGCAAAAATAACGTCGTCGAAACCGACATTGAGTTTGTAAAGCGCCTTTATGTTACTAATTATTAAGTAAGTATTTCACTGTCTGTCTGTTCTTCCTAAAGTGACAATTCTTCTTGAGTGCCGACAATACTGCCCAAGTAACAAAGTACCTATATCTTTACCACTCTTTCCACAAATCTAATTTTGTCTGTACCTAATCAAGACATTGGTGTTTGAAATATTAATATCTGTGTATGCAGCTACTAAACCACTAAGTAAATCAATTTTATGCGTACCAATTTCACCTTCTTCTTCTTCTTTTCGTGTGAGACACTGAGTCGTGCAACGACCCGATGAACCCTGGTGTCAGAGTTTTTCAACCGCCTACTGCAAGTAGCAGGCCTCTGACATGGTTGTGTAACGACCGCCATCATAGACAGCAACCGGGACCGACGGCTTAACGTGCCCATCCGAAGCACGGAACCATCTTACTTGCGGACAATCAGGTGGTTCAGCCTGCAATGTCCTAACCAGACTGGGAACAAATTCACAAAGTGATAAATATCAACTTTGTGAGTGACCCCACCGGGAATCGAACCCGGAACCTTTGCGTGGCAGGTAGGCATACTAACCACTGCGCCACATCGGCTGTCATTTCACCTGATTCTAACCATTATAAACGATCTTGGTAAATTATGAGACAAGTAACAATTTCACTTTTCTCTGTGATTTGTTCGCTGTAGATTTCTATTTCATTTAATCTCATTTGTTTAAATAAGTCGTGGTTTATTTGTCTTAATCTTAATAGTCTAAAGTGCTAAGGGTTAATCATCTATTGCATATGAGAAATCCTACTTCGTAAGGTGCAGTTTGATTATCTAAGTATATACAACTACTACGGCCATAATAGTCCACTGCTGGACATGCGCCTCTCCCTTTAGAAACCACGCTTGGCAGGCGGATTAACGAGCGCAGTGCAAGGTGTTTCATTCACAGAGAACGCTGCTGCCCAATCCCTGAATGAATATATCCCTTAGTCGGTTTTTACGACACCCACAGTTAGAATTGGGGTGATGCTATTTTAAGCTGGCACCATCATGCCACATCTCACTCTCACAAAACGTGTTAAAATGCTAGCCAACACTTCTTTCGAATTTTCCATACAGGTAACTCCTATGTGCCTGGAAAAGCCTCGCTCGTGAGAAGTCCGTTGGAATGCGGGGTTTGGTATCTGTGGCTAGATCTAACACCTACTTGCATGCTAAATGCTGTCGCTTGGCGATTCTTGCGCCTAGAATGCAGGGAAACCATAATAAAGTGTGCAGCGATAAAATGGCCAATGCTCATTTTTATAGAGACTAATATTTCCAACAAAACAAGCAAAACTGCGTGTACCATATAAGCTTGGTTGAAATAAATCGCTTCGTGTAAAAGAGATTTATGTATATCAACGACATAAGGGTGGAATCCCAGTCGGTGACGCGAGCCCTGGAGATGGAATGGGGTTTAGGTATCAGACCGTGGAGTGATGATGATGAATGATGTTTGTCCCAGTAGTGGGAGTATACAAATACCCTCATTAGACCCATGTCCAGCAGTGAACTGTTGTGGCTGTAAAGGTAAAAGTAAAGATTATCGCAGTAAGAATTTTGTTATATTGTATACAGTATTCTGAGTCATTATACGTACAGGGTGGCCCAAAAGTAACGTTCAAAGACAAAATTTGAATGTCCCGTAGTGAGGGGTAGGTATCTGAATTACCCCCACGGATATTTTAAGATTTTTCGTAGTTTCTGCGTTATTCAACTTTCAAAGTTCCTTCGTTCGTTCACTCCTTAGGTCACCCTATATTTTATTGTACAATAGGTAAGATAGGTAAATCAGATCTAATTATTTCAAGATGATGAATGCCCCTAAATCTACGCTAAGCCTCCATTAACGAAATGCGCAACAATTAAGACGGATTAAGCAGCTAATGCCATAATACAGGGTGTAATTCCGCGTTACGAGTTTAATCACGACCCTGTATAGCTCGTAATACAGGACTTACTGATATTGCCACTAAAATGGTACTTGGATGA